GTTCGAGAAATCAAATCATTGTTTCTCTCTATTGAAATACTCGAGCAACGGCTCACTTCCCGCCTCCACATTAAATGCGCTCACATCTACATTTAATGTTCTGATAGGAAAAATCGTTTCAACATGGCTTGCATTTAATGCGCATGGCTGACACTTATTGTGCATAGGACACGTCTGTCAGAGCAAAAGGTGTTTCATTAATGTATCCGCTGCCAAATCACAACGGATAACATCTAAAGAGGTCATTTAATAAAACACTCTTTATCGCGTGTCAGTTGCGATGCGACGTGACTCTTTGCCTTCAATAAAAAAAGAATACGCTAAGTATATTCAGGCCATGAACCTCAATCAAGACCAGAATCATCGCTGTGGCACTAAATAAGGTCTGGTATGGGTCACAAACCTTACAGGGGCCATTTCAGGTCGCCTATGTGGAAATATTTCGTGACCTCCTTGCAACCAAGTCGGATCGACCAGCAGTCACTTGACACATCAAATCAGTGCATGATTGTGTAGTTTTCAAGGTTTGACCCTCAAACTTTAAAAACTAGGGGATTTCTATTATGCTTGAGAAAGTAGGGCTGACACCGAGCCTTGTCAGCATGGGTGGTTAGAGCTTAAGAAGGTTTTACAACCACTCAGATGCAGTCACGTCACATGATGATATGAGCAGCCACATCGCATGATGATGTGAACAGCATGCTCCTGCTAGTGTAGTGGGTATGCACCAGACTGGCGAAAGGCTAAAAAAGGTCCACGTGTCCAATCCTTGCACAAGTAAAGGAAATCACTCGGGCAGGTGAGCAATGGGACGCAGAGACGGATTTGCATAGCATTCGCCCCACTCAAAGAATTAGTAATCATTACCTTGGTTCATCCCACTATAAATAGAGAGCTCTTCTCCTGTTTATGGGATTAGCTAATTTTACTCTGAAATAGCATACTCTATTTCTCTCCCTATTGTATTTCCTAAGCTACAAATCAGTTCGCTGAACGCAACCTGACTTCTTCCATTAATACAAATACCAGTGGACGTAGGATTTGCCTTGTAAGCATCCGAAGCACTTTAAACATTGTTCTTCACCTTTTTATTAGCTAAATACTTCCATAATCACATGTGACTTTTGAGCCCACTCAGCATTTCTCACGTGTAAATAGTTGGTGTCAAAATCAAGCATCAACAATTACAAATTAACCTCTACTAATTGTTTAATATCCTTTTTTAGTTATTCCTTTAATAAGGAATATTCATTACCAAAGTCTATATAATCTCCTTTTTAACTATTCTATATTGAGTTGAGATTGGAATTTAACAATACCGATTACTGCATCTATTACGTGTATAGAAGAAAAAATGTCTTTTTCTTGAAAACAGATTTATCATTACGCAAATTGCGTCATAGTCTCAACTCATATTTGTTAAAAAAAAAATACCTTATTTCTCTCACAAAATGACCCAACACATGCATCGATGTAGCGATAGCATACTTAATTAATGATTCTTACTGGGAGAAATTAACGATTCTTACCCTTAATTATAAGGATAATAACAATAGAAGTTAAGCCAATATATACATAGTGTTCTGAAAACCAGACCGAAGCAACCAATCAAACAGGTTTGATTGGGAATTGACACCCTTTCCAGTCTGGTTTTCTCTGAAATCAGAAATGGCAGTCAAACTAGATTGACCTGCGGGTGGACCATCAAAATAGTGTCAAATCGCGAGTCAATCCCACCGAATTCCGACACCGTTCGAGGGAGATAACACCACCATAAGACTTATCGGCATCTCCATGACAAAACCCTTCCATTTTCACTGGCTGCCATCTTGCTGTTCGTCACTCACTGTCCACCTATTGTTCGCACAACTGAAGGCCTTCCTTCTTGATTTCGGAAGATTATGGTGCTGTTTGAACTCCTTGACCCCACCGTAAGAGTCATCGACATCTCTACATCAAAATCCCAATCATTCCAAACTCCAATTGCCTATCAATCGTCGTTGCCGCCACCAGTCTTTTCGTGTGACTGCCCAGATTGTAGGGGTGTTTTGGATAGATTTCAAACCTTTAGGGACCCATGCATAATTATTTAGGGGTGTTTTTGATGAATTTCAAACATTCAAAGACTAAAGGTAATTTTATGGGACATGGTCCAACCGACCCACCCGCTCAACTCGAGAACCCGACTCTTTACTAGGTCAAGGATCGATCCGGTTTTCAGAACATTGGTAACTAAAGGTGGGGGACTCCTTGGCATGTAAAACCTAAGCCATCAAAATTTGTGTTGGCTAAGCGGTTAGCTTTGCCAAGAATATGGAGAAAACTTGCGTATATACTTGAAGGCATCAAAATTAATTAAAAATAACAGATATTATTTTAATTAAGAAGAGCTTTGAGATTAGGCAGCTTTATCGTAGAGTATGAATGGATTATTAGATTCATGATAATAATAATGTAAAAAAAGGCATATAAATATTGTAACATACATGTATTTTATGATTCATTGTGCATGTATTTAATGCATCGAAAACGTTTTTTTTTTTTTTTTTTTTTTTTCAAGCAAATATGCAAGATTGGATTAAATGATCCAATTATAAAGATGGCCTTAATATTGTTTAATTCTTTCCGTGTTTTTGTTTTAAAAAATGAATATAATAAGTTTCAATTTTGTAATTGAAGATTAAGATTGCGTCTTATTCATCGTCTAGAAATAAAGAGGAAGTTAAACATAAAGTTAAAGTAGTTTATATTCTTTACTTGATTCATTGATAAAGAAAAAGATCTTTGTCCTTTTGATTATAAACAGTAGAGTGAATGACAATTTTCCACCCGAGATTTGCCGTAATCAGTAATTACAATTTACCACCCATGAACTTTGAGAAAAACAATTTCTCACCCGTCATCAATCTCTGTCAATGGAATCTATTACTTGACAGGGGTAAAGTTATAAAAAGATTATAATTACCCTTTACTATTTGACTTTATAATTTTTAACGAGGTTGACTAACATTTTCCCACACAAACTTTGTTAAACTTGTTTTTTACCCCTAGTTTGGTTTATATTAACTTTAGGGTTAATAAATAAATAAAAATTAAAAAATAAAGTCAGTTATAAAATTAAAAAATTAAATAAAACAAACAAATATAAAAACTAAAAAAAATAGTCGGTTGGAATCGCACCCAACGATTCCAGCTGATTTGCACTCGAGTGGGTACGATTCCAATTGATTCACACTTGGCTAGGTGTGATTCCAACCTATTCACACCTGGTCGGGTGTGATTTCGATGGATTTGCACTTTCCTAGGTGTGATTCCAGACTAATCGCACTTGGCCAAGTGCGAATCTGACCAAATCACACTTGGTCGGGTGCGAATCCAGCCTAATCGCACCTGGCGGGTGTGAATAAGTAGGAATCACACCCAGCCTGGTGCGAATCAACTAGAATCGCAACTAACTTTTTTTTTTTTTTTCAAATTTTCATAATTTTTTATTTTCGGATTTTTCTTACTTTTTATGATTTCTTAGTTTTTTTTTTTTTTTTGGTGGAAATTATATTTTTTTATATAATTTCATGAAATATATACAAATTTAATGAAATATTGCTTTGTAGTTTTATAAATATTTAACTGACAGATATTATTATAATTTATAAAAATAAAATATACAATTTTAAATTTTAAATTTTTTTAGAAGCACATATAATTTAAAAGTTAAACCTCCATTGTGACTATAGAAATTGATGGTAGGGGTTTAAATGGCTAATTCCAAGTTGGTGAAAGTAATTGTTATGTGTTTGTAATTTAGGGTTGTAAATAACATTAAGCCTATAATATATATATTGTGCCAACTGACATGAATGCACTTTTGCTGTTAAAACTAACGTTTGAATTTCACGATGGTGGGAAAATGTTTTTTTCAAAGTTTATGGGTGGGAAAATGTAACTACGGCAACCTTTTGGTGGAAAAATCGTTCACTCATTTTTAAGGTCCGTTTCAATATTCTCAAACTGCCAAAAATATATCCAAAATCAACTGAATATAATTTTCATTGTGTAGTTGAAGTTTGTCTCCTCAAACATCTATCTCCCAGGGTGAATTCAAAAGGCAGCTTCTTTTTCTTGTCTAGCTACTATATTAAGCGGATTCGCTCTTGAATTCATCTTAAAAAACAAACATAGGAAAAAAAATAAATGAAGAAAACCAACAAACGAAAATGAACTGGTTATATATATATATTGCGAAGAAAAACCAAATAGTACTACATGTTCTTTGCTTAATTAGTTAATATATAGTACGTTGAGATAGTGTTAAGAATCACATAAAGGTAAAGTCAAATAGTCAATATTCCTTGCTTAATTAGTTAACATATAGTACGTTAAGATAGTATATGGAATCACATAAAGGTAAAGCAAAATAGTAAATATTTTTTGCTTAATTAGTTAACATATAGTAGGTTGGGATGGTATTTGGAATCATATAAAGGTAAAGTCAAATATTAAATATTCTTTGCTTAATTAGTTAACATATAGTACGTACATATAGTACGTGTGTGTATGTGTGTATATATATATATATATATATACATATATCGTGAAAAAAAGCCAAAAAGTAAATGTTCTTTGCTTAATTAATTAACATATAGTACGTTGAGATGGTATTTGGAATTACATAAAGGTTTTGGTAGTTAAGTGAAAATTGCATATCATGATAATTTACATGAATTTATTTATTATTTATCATACAATTTATACATTATAACTATTCAAGGATTGGAGATTTCATGCGTGAGTAATATAAATTATTTTTGCCTGGTTACGTAGAGTGCTCTAGAATTTATTAACAATAAAGAAGATAAAGTTGAAAGTAGTTTATGTTCTTTACTTGATTCACTGATAAAGAAATAGTAGAGTGAATGACAATTTCCCGCCCAAGGTTTGATTATATATATTATCAAACTGCAAAAAATATCTCCAAAATCAATCGAAGATAATTTCCATTGGGTAGTTGAAGTTTTTCTCCTCAAACATCTATCTCTCAGGCTATTTGTGATGCGTCTCTTGATCTCCTCTCTAACGCGTGAAGAACTTCGGTCACATGAGATAAAAAATCTCTCACACTTTTAGGTATATTTATTTAAAAATTGTTAAAACATTAATAATTCTTTATGATATATATATAATATTTTCTGTGTTACAATAATCCAAATTGCTCTCAATTAATGTTGTCATGTGGTAATGTTTGGTGGGTATTTGAAGTGGGCTGAGTGGAGTCAACTAGTGTAGTCAAATGGTTGGATATTAGCATCCCTTTTTTTTTATTTTTTTTTAAACTAGAGATCTCAAGTCAAGATCGTCTTAAAAATCTCAGGCCTGGGCTTGAAGAAAAGTTCCAGTTCTTAATATCGGAACGCTCCTACCAGGGCTTTCGGCCCGTGTTTAATTGGTTGAAAAAATAAAGATATTTTTTGAGATTTTTCTTACATATTGGGGGTTAGAAGAAAATTTAATATTTATTTCACATAAGGTAGTCATAGGTTATTTTTATAGAGGGTTTCTTTGAAATTTTAATTTATAAAATGTGTTATGTAATTTTCAGAGGGTTAAAGCTATTTTCTGGAGGTTATTGTAAATTTCTGAACTTTATATAATAGATCTAAGCCTGGGCGGGGCTTATTAAAGTTCTCTTCTACATCTCTAATGTTGATTTACTTATTGTTTCAATTTCAAATATTAAAGCATGTGAGTGGGGTTGGTAACACTCACCCCATTTAACTTTATTATATTAATATATTTTATTTAATTTTGTTAAAGTATTCTTTTAGCTTATTAATACTTACAGTAATAAGTTAATAATATAATATACACTCCATTGGTTGTAATTGTACTTTAAAATTAAATTAATGTTAGTCAAGTACTACTTTTATGTTAAGTTAATTTAAGCATTCTTTGATATACACATGTATTATTGTATTAGAGACAAAATATTTGTAATTAATTAAAATATTAAAATTTGAACAATAAACTATAAACTTAGAGGACAACATTAATCTTCCTGTGGGTGGACAAAATTCATACGTTATCTCTTTACTATGTGATATTCCCTTAACGGTTGATGGTGTTGCAATATGTTACTAATTAGCTATCTTGGCAATAACTAATGGCACCCTATATGTCATATGTATGTAACCAGCTGGATCACTCCCACCTGAAACATGAAGCTGTACAATTGACTTACAATTTTGCAAATTTTTTGTTGGATTCTTCATTAAATAAATAATTCTTTTCTTGCCTCTGTAGGGAAGTTTTGAATTGGAGAATGACGACAGACAGTGAATCAACATTTAGGACTTATCAGGCAGCCTTGGAGGAGGATTGGAATTACTTGAAGACATACTTCAAGGAAAGGTCTTATGCTTTGCCAGTTCCTCTAACGGCTGCCAAGGACACTGTATTTCACTTGGCAGTTTTTAGCTGTAGCAAAGAGCCGCTTGACATTTTACTTAATATTGCCGAAAATGACCGTATGACAATGTCTGCAGTTTGGAACAAGAACGAGTACGGAGACACACCTCTTCATGTGGCTGCTGCCAATGGGAACCTTGAGGCTGTAAAGCTCTTGGTGGAATACGATAAAGACCTCTCTCATGATATTAATGACGAAGGCGAAACCCCGCTGTTTAAAGCTGCTGCATATGGGAGAACAAAAGTGGTGAAGTATTTAGCTTCAGAGTCACTTGATCAACAAAGCATAGAAACAGGAACTCACATTATAGAATCGGGAGGAAGGAAAATAGTAAACTATACAAAGCTGAAAGATATTCACCGCCAAAAAATAACTGGAGAAGTGAAGGGAGCCTCGATTTTGCACGCTGCCATCCTAGGAGAGAATTTTGGTCTCTTTCTCTGTCCATATAGCTTGTTCACTTTTGCTTTGAATTGAAATATTCAACTGCTATCTGATGTGATAAGTTCTTTTCAAATTTTTGCTCAGAAACGGCTCTACTGTTACTGAGACTGGACAAATGCTTAGCAACATTGGAGGACGAAAAGTGTTGGACCAGTCTTAACCTGCTAGCCACTTTGTCCTCTGCTTTCAAAAGTGGATACCAAATGGGCACATGGATCAGCAGAGTCTTCTACTTCTGTATGTACTCTCCAACTTTTTATACTCTTAACATATATTAATAACAAATACACTTAACGGGTGTTTATTTCTTTGTATGCTTGTATGTTTGTTTTTTAACACTTTTTATAGATTTAAATGTTTTAAGTTAGGGTCACTGAAAGTCTGAAACATAAGTTTGTTGAGACAGCTTTGTGACATAAATTCATGATTATTAATTCATTTTAATCTAGTGACTTAAAAATAGTTAACTAAACTTCTCATTAAGTCATTGGATCAAATTGATTCAATAGTTAAGAATTTATATCAAAAAAGATAGGCTAACGAATGGTTTTTACTTTCTCTTACAAACGCGACGTATCAACTCGTAATTAGTCAAACATGACCCAATATTAGACAGATGAGGCTCATTGTGAATTGTCACATCGTGTTTATTAGAGAAAGTTAGTGAGAAAGGTTTGTGAGTGTAATATTACCCGGTTTATATTAAAATGATCATCTCTATATGATTTATTGATCCATGTAATTAAAAATAGCAATAAAAGTGGTGTTTATTCAGGATCTGATTGAGAAAGTTTGGTATTGAAACTTTCATAGTTAGGTCCCGACTAAAAGTTGTATCAGTATATATATATATATATATATATATATATATGTTTAAAGATGATCATTTTAACATCATTATTTTATTATTATTGAAACTCACTAAAAAAAAAAAAATTTGACTACCAAAATTTGATATTGGACAACTTTGTTGGTTAACTAGATTAAAAAGTTTCAAATAAATAAATTCTAGGTGACATTTAACATTCTCATATAAGTTTATATATATTATTGAATAAGGGTATTTTATGTATTTAATCAATGTGTTTCTTAATAATTTTCGAAATTTGAATATAATTTATAATTTTCAATATTTGTATGTAAGTTATGAAATCTAACTTATTCTATTTAGTGTATTTATCTTAAAAGAAGAGATTATGAAAAACAAACAATAAAAATTGTAAAAGTACTTAAATTCATCGAAAACTAATAATTTATATATCTAGTTAAGCGTGCAACAATTCTATCTTTATATATCTCTACTAACAATTTTTTTGCTAATATGAATTTAATTTAGAAAAAAATTATTGAAGAAAATTAAAGAAACAATTTAATGATGAAAAAAAAAAAGGATATATCATTAAAACTTTAATTTGGCGGCCAATTTATCCATATAATTCTAAATTGAAACTATTTTATTAAAAATGTTACTTTCATATATTTGTTAATAATACATATTTATTAAGAAATGAGAATGTTATATCAATAGTGATGGACTTGATTGTTATATATATACATTTTAATTTCTTAGGATGTGTGCTATTAATATATGAATTTTAAAAGAACAATTTGTTAATTTTACATATTTCTTATTAATTCTTAAATTTACAGGTCTTCCGATCGATGATAGTATAGATGATGAAATGGAGAGTTGTTGTAATCTCTTCAATGGTAATATACGAAACTTTACTTTTGTTTTGATTTACTTTCTTAGTATATGTGCCTTCAAACATATATGTTAAATAGAAGCCTTTGTTAATGAAATGTACTTTTTAATATGCAAACCCTACATGCTTTCGTTTTGGTGATAGTGTAGATGACAAAGAATTTTGTTGATTAAATCTCTTTAAATATAACAATAAGAATTTACTGTTTGTTCCACTTATATATATTTACATAAGAATTTGATTTTTGTTCCATTTTAATTTACTTGTATGAATCATGTAAATGCGTAAACATGAATAGAGTGGTGGAAACTGGGAAAAATCTGTTCTCCAGCGAGAGAAATCTGCGAAGCAAAGAGAAAGCATAAACTTGCTTCTAGACTTGCAAGGAGCCTGATAAGAGAAGATTCGTGGCTTGAAAAAGTCAAACAAAAAATGTCATCACCTGATGTTGATGAACCAATTGAAGAAAATTCTCAGCCAAGCTCTTTATTTTTTGCAACTGAAAGAGGAATAATAAAGATTGTTGAAGAGATGCTTACATTGTGTCCACAATTAGTTGAGTTTAAGAATCATCAAAAGCAGAACATATTGCATGTAGCCATTCAGCACCGTCAGAAGGAGATATACGATCTCGTGAAAACGATGAAGATACCAATGACAAGGTTAGTCCGAGGGATTGACAAAAATGGCTACACCATTTTACACCACGCTGCAAACATGAAGGATGACGATAAAGAAACTCACCCTGCAGGACCTGTCTACCAACTGCAAGAAGAGCTAAAGTGGTACAAAGTAAGCCCACCTTTTTCCTACTTTAAGAATTTTAATCATGTATGGATTAAAAAATAACTTGTGTCCTCAGGGTATACATATGTATATATCTTTTCTATTTTAAATTTTATTCATTATTCAAATCCGATAATCAATACTGAAATTATAAAACAGCAAATTAAATATGAAATTTTAGGGAATATAACTGACAACTCTCCCATTGTATGTACTCTAGTTCATGCATTGATTACTGTGGCAGTGGCAGATTTAAGAACCAATATATTTTGCTATATGTTTATATATGCAGCGTGTAGAGAAGATGACGCCCTCCCACTACCGCATGTTTCCAGAGTCGGAGTTTAATAAGAATTGCAAAGAACTCTTCATTATCAAGCATAGTGGACTACTGAAGGATGCACAGAAATGGATAAAAGAGACTTCTCAGTCTTGCTCTGCAGTGTCTGTTCTTGTTGCCACCGTCGTCTTCGCAGCTGCCTACACCGTACCTGGAGGTTCCAATGAGAAAGGGTATCCAGTTTTCCTCAACAATAGGTTCTTCTTAATTTTCACAGTCATGGACGTGGTTGCTTTAGCCTGCTCCTTGACCTCGGTGGTAATGTTCTTGTCCGTCCTCACATCACCTTTCCATTACGAGGATTTCCGTGTCACGCTCCCTCGAAAACTGACAATAGGTTTCTCCTTACTCTTCATTGCGTTGACTACAACAATGCTTGCATTTGCGGCAACATTATTGCTCATTGTTCATTTCCAAAAGCCACGGTGGACCACCACTCTCATTTACACTGCTGCATTTTTCCCGGTCAGCATATTTGCACTCACGCAATTCCCTATGTATGTTGCATTAAACATAACCTGGCTCAAGTTTTACAAGTGTATTAAGAAGGTTCTTCCTCGTGAATGGTTTAAGAAGAAGCTTCCGAGGAATGATGTGTTGTCCAAGAAGAATGATGATCATAGGCCTAGACCCCCAGTATGAGACATTTATATATATATATGAAGAAATGGTAAAGGAGGCAGCTGTGTCACCAATGCAAGAGACTTGTATTGGAATTAAATAAAAGGCTTGTATATTTATTAATTTCCGACTGAATATTTATTAATGGTTTGTGTCTTGTTGATTCTAAAGTGTTGTAGCATGCTTGATGTTGCTAAATAACTTGATGAAATGAGTTGCGTGTTTTCAAGGCAGTTTGCCCATTCAACTTACTTTTTAGTCTGCTGTTAATTATGTTAGCATTAAGTGATTGTTGAAAGATTAAAATTTTTTTGTAATTATGTTAGCATTAAGTGATTGTTGAAAGATTAAAATTTTTTTGCCATCCAAATAATGGTTTAGTAACAAGTTTTAACAAAAAAAGTTGGCTGAATGACATGCACCCACCCATAGTTTGTCATAAGGACAAGTTGGTACCCAAAAAGTTTGGAAATGATGAACACCCACTCTCCATCAGGTTCTTTTAGTGAATTCCATCAGTTGAAGGACAATGTGGTAAATTCAAAAACAAATAAAGGATAATTATGTCATTTTATCCCTTTCTTCTTCGATCAAACTCACCTTTCTTCCACCTTTCTTCTTCAAAGTAGTCGCCATCGCTAGCATTCTTGCCGGCTTTCTTTCCTTGTTCCGTCACCTTTTCTATTGATCTCATCTCCCATCACCATCACCATCCTCCTCCATCCCCAACCGGATTTGAAAAATCGGTTTTAGAAATATTCAATCAAAATCAAATCTCTCTAGCAATCATGAATTTGATGTTCAATAGCTTTGATGCTTTCTGTGCTAAATTCCTTGGGCAGAAGGTGAGGGCTTCTTTTTTCTTTTTGCAACGAAGAAGGTTAACAATATGCAGTCGGAGTCGAAGGATTCTACAAGGGTGAATAAAACTTCCCACATGAAGAATAAGCAAGTGGGTCCATCTTCATCAAACCAAGTTTTGGGAAAGCTAGATTTGCTCTAGAGTTGGATGGACTCAACTGTTTTGACACAATCGTCTCCTATTGATTCAGTTTTCTGCTTATTATTGTTGAAGAAGTTGATGCCTTTTTTATTGAAGGGCTACAAACATATTCTGTCTCTCAAGTGAAGAGTTTTTACTTGTTTAAGGGAATTTAGTGTATTCATAGGAATTAAAGTTAGTGAATACAGGATTTTCCTCCTCCATTCTTTCATTCATATCTCTGTAAAATCAAGATTACTTAATTGATAATATGCTTTTTAATCTTAATGTTTAAGATTTGTTCTTCTTCTTCCTTTTTCTTCTTACTATTATTATTTGGGGTAAATAATTGTTGATCTTGAGCAACCCGACTCTCCTCTTCAAAACCCATTCCTCCACTAGCACTCTCCAGTCGCCGTTTGTCGCCCATGATCTACATTTGTCAACACGAGGCAGTTGCGTTTTGCCGCATTTTCTTTCGCGTTTTGCTGGTTTTTTGGTGTTTGATGGGTGGGTGGCTATTTAGAAGTGTTTGTGTTGTTGTTGTGGTATTTTTTCTTGGTCGCCTGCCGCTCCCCCATCACTCCAACTTGCTGCTTCATTGTCACCCACCACCTGTTCGACCTTTTGCCGCCTCCAAATCTCAGTTTGCCCAGCAACCAACTACTAGAGTCTAGGCTTATTGGTGACTAATTGTAAGATTTCCCCAGCCACTTCCTTGCTGCTGGCGACCAAAAACTTTATGGATATGAAAATGTCCGCCACTTGTTTGCTTTTTTTCGGCTAATTTGAAAATTATCACACAATCCTTCAACAGATGGAATTCACAAACAGAACCTAACAGAAAGTAGGTGTTAGTCATTTATAAACTTTTTGGGTACCAAATAGTCTTACGAAAAACTATGAGTGGGTGTATATCGTTGGACCCAAAAAGTTTTAAAATACAATTTTATTATCTAACGTTATATTCCGTCAATAATTTTTATTAAATATAATGTACATATATTTACAACATATATTCGTTGTAAAGATAAAAATACCTTTTACTATTTTAAAAAAAAAAATTATTAAAATTAAATAACAAATTTGTTCCTAATATTTTTCTCCTCTTTCCTTCTTTCTTCTTCCTCTCCTTTCCTCTTTCTTTTTCATTCCTTCTCTTCTTCTCTTTCCTCTCTCAATTGCACCAGGCCGTTTTCTCTCTTCCCCTTCTCTTTTATTTTCTTCCTTCTTTTTCTCTCTTTTATTCTCTCTTCCCCCTCTCTTTTCTTTTCTTCCTTCTTTTTCTCTCTTCCCACTTAGTTTCATAATAAACAGGAACTTTATAAGAATCAATATGATTCTTATCAAAGAGAGACGGGATTAACATAGTATGTTCAACGTCCCCAAAACAGAGCTCTAAATTTTTTTTACTCACCCACCAAACAAACTCTCAATTTTTTTTCCTTCAAACAAAAATTCTATCAAATTTTATTCTCTCCATTAAACAAAGTTTCAATAAATTTTCTTTCTTCCCTTGAATCATGAGTTTCCATTAGAATAAACCAGTTACCAATTGATGTGCGAAAATACACAATACAATCCCAGCAGCTGGCCAAAGAAATAAGGAAAAGAGAGGAGAAGAAAGGGAAGAGAAAGAGAAGAAAATGCTAAGAATTTCTTTTCTTTTCTTTTTTTTTTTTTTTAAGAAAAAATAAAAGTAGGATATTGATTTAATAAAAAAAGTTGATTTACTAAAACCACGTCACCACGCATCTCATATCATATCACATTAATATTTCAACAATAAGTTAATTGTCAACACAAATCGGGCTTATATCTAAATTTAATATTTGGGTCTTACTGAAAACATAATTAAAATTAAAAAGAAAAATTGACGAAGAAATGTATGATAAGTGATAACAAGACAAAAATGATATATTATGAAATTAATTTAGCAATGGCAACTCTCACTCTTTCTTTCTTCATTAATTTTGACAATTACTTTCTTAAGAGAAAGTGGTTCAAGGGTTAGAAAATCAAAATAATTTACCAAGAGAGAGATTAGTTTTCTAAAATTAAATTATTTTCTTGGGTTGTATTCTTTGATTCTTTTATATAATTACCTCAATTACCCAAAAAAAAAATTAGTAAAAAAATTAATTTAAATTAATAAATGTTAAAATTTTATATATATATTTTAAATCTCATCCGCTAGTAGCTCAAGTGAATCTTTTTGCATTTGTTCCTGTAAACACAAATATGTTACTATATTGAAGGATAGATTACTTAAATTGAAAATTTATATAAATATTTTCTTTTTTTCTTTTTTCACTCTTTTATCCGTTTTGTTTCGTGCATCATCTGAATTTCATCTTAGAAGTAATTATAGCATTAAAATCCAACTGCCACAGGACTTTTGAAAATTGATAAAGTGAAAATTAGATAATAGAGATGTTCTTTCTAATTAATAGACGCCTATATATTATTAAACACACACCAATTAATAAAAATTCAGTCGGAGAATAGAAATATTCAACCCAAGTCTTTTGCATCCGTGACATATATCAATCATCCTTTAGCCTTGGAGCAACAATATATAAAAAATCCCTCAGATAGGGGCGAAGGCTTATTTTGATCACCATTCTTCTTATCCAACACATTGACCTGAAGGCGCTGCTTCTTTGACAATTTACAAGAAATACTCTTCTGGATCATCTTGCAAACCTGGAGCAAAGTAACCTTAAATGCAACATACATAGGGAATTGTTTAAGTGCAAATATGCTTATAGGAAGAAATGCAGCAGTATAAATGAGAGTGGTCGTCCAACGTGGCTTTTCCAAACGAACGATGAGCAATAATATTGCTGCGAATGCAAGCATTATTGTAGTCAATGAAATGAAGAGTAAGGCGAAGCCTATTGTGAGTGTTCGAGGGAGCATGTGATGGAATTCTTCATACTTAAAAGGCATGTGAGGACGGACAAGAACATAACAACCGAGGTCAAGGAGCAGGCCAAAGCAACAACGTCCATCACTGTGAATACCACGAAGAAATCATTGTTAAGGAAAACTGGATACCCCCTCTCATTGGAACCCCAAGGTACAGTGTAGGCAGCTGCGAAGACGACGGTGGCAACAAGAACAGCCACAACAGAGCACGACTTAGAAGTATCTTTTATCCATTACTGTGCTCACTTGAGTAGTTCATTGTGGTTTGATTTGAGTAGTTCTTTGGAAGTCTTGTTTTCCTTTTTATCGCACAACATGGTGTAGTGGGAGGGCTTTATCTTCTCTACATGCTGCATATATAGAAATATAACAATACATATTTTGGTTCTTAAATCTGCCATTGCCACAATAATGCATAAACTAGTGTACATGCAATGGGGGTTATCAATTCTTTAAAATTTAAATATAGAAATTGGTATGAATTCATACCATATTAGATATTTATTTTAAAAGCCATTAATACAAAAAAATAAACATATAGGACATAAATTCATTAATTAGTTGTATTCCCATTTTAATGTAGACTAGTTCACTCGATTAACTAATATTGAGCAAAAATATAAAGTAGAAGTAAGAGGGGCTTACTTGTTCTACTTTATCCGTTCTTGAAGTTCACTCGATTAATTAATATATAGCCACAAAAATAGTATTTACTGTTGATAATGTAGGGTATAATTAGATACCCTTCTCAGGGGTTGTTATTAAAAGATTACCGGGTAATCTGATTTTTAAAACTATTTTACCCTTAATTAAATACCATTTTAGATACAATTGCCTTCAAATGTCTACCAAATAATAATTAACTCAGCCCTCCCACATTTGAGAAATTAGCTAAAATACCCCAGCCACAAAAAAATTTAAAAGTTAACAAAATCCCCTTAGCTACCCAAGACCACAGCCAACCACTATCAATAGTTGTCTTAATGGTGCACGATCAGCGGGATTTGGTCGGTTGTGAATCACTAAGGTCGAAAATGGCTAGATCTGACCGTTTCTATGGTCGTTTCACAACCACATCTTTGGTTGTGAAACAGCCATGGATCATGGAAATGGCTTTGCTGGCGCACAACCGGCCATATATGGCTAGTCGTGTGCCATTCCATCAACTGTCATGGTGGTGGCTAGTTGCCCGCAATGGCTTGGGGTGGGTGGGGGTATTTTGCTACAAATTAAAGTTTTATAGAGCTGGGGTATTTTAGCAAAATTTTAAATGTAAGGGGATTAAAAAAATATTTCAAAAATA